CTGGGTGACGGTCCTTTGCTTAGTCTCTCGCAACCCTTAGAGAAACTCCAAGCTGCATGCCCGGTTCCCAGGATGGTTCCAGCTTCTATTAGACATACATAAGTTTAACCCGTTAACTGAAAATAAAGTCTCAATGGCAGTAAAAGTGTTTAATAATTAAAGTGAGCATTTGAACTAGGAAACAGTTCATTAGATGTTGCAGGTGCGAGTCTAATAAACACAGTTCAGTTTATCCAGGCAGGAAACAGCGAGTGATTTGATAAAGAATGTGATTGTTCTTCATGGAAAGGCTCCTAGTTCCAAGTTTTCTGGACCTAAAGATAGACTCGTGCTAACGGAAGGCCTTAGAGGATTTTCATCTTTTCCCTGCTAGCGAATGCACTACAGAGAAGCCAAGGCTGGTTACCATTGTCTTTTTCATTTGAGAAGGTGGATTTTACCTCCAGCAGCAGGTTCCTGCATGCAGAATGGAACCTGAAGATGACTTTACTCTCTTGCCTTCTAGACCAGTGTTGGAATCCCCAGGAAATTTTACAAAATGTTTGCTCACTCCACAGACATGTGTAAGTTACACTTGGCTTACGATCTCTCCAGCTCCATTTTAGATTCCCTTGACATATGTGACTCCATTTTGTCACCTAATTCCACACCCAGTAGCTTAGACAACAAACACCTATTTCTCCCAGTTCTGGAGCTGGGAGGTCCAGGAAGCAGCAGGGGGCCCTCACAGGCAGGGAGTAGGGGGGCAGCAAGCACTCATGTGCTTCAGGAATCCACCCCCCTGACCTTACTTCCCAAAGACCCCCCAACTCCTTCACATTAGGATTTCAACATGAGTTTTGGAGGAGCATAAATACTCAGTCCGTGACACCACCCCTCCAGGCTGCCACATTTACGGTCCCACTGGGAACCAGGCACTATGCTGGTATTGAAAGCACACCCATCTGGTGACACCCTGTGTGTCAGATGCTGGGCTCTCCTGATACCTGCTGAGTGGGTTGCACCCCTGGCCTTTCTCTAAGTGCTTCAGACAAACTTCATGAGCAGTGGCCCCTGTGCAGGGCTCCCTCTCTGGGGGTGAGGGGTTGTTTTCCCAGGGAACTCTGGGTCAGTGTCCAGGGGCTCAGGAAGGTACCTCTCACCTTCTCTCTGCTACTAAGGTTATGCAACCAGGTGCTTCCCTCACTACTAAGGTTGGAGAATCTGAACTTGAGAACACATTTCCTCTTCCTGACTGAATGGAGGGCCACAGACACTCCTCCTAGGTGGAACCTGTTCTGAACATAAGAAAAGGAAGTGCCATGGCAAGATTGTGTTTGTGTATGTGTGTGTGTGTGTGTGTGTGTGTGTGAGCTTCTTAAAGGGCTCAAATATTTTCCCTAATCTGGCAAACCACAGGAAGAGAAACACTATGCTTATACTCAGCTCCCGGAATTTGAAATATAGTCAACATTTCCCATGCATTTGTCAAACATGTTGGCGTTTTTACCCCTAGAATCTGCTTCAGTAGGTTTGAAGCTGGACTGAAAATGTATCCACGAGGAAAGCCTGGAGGAAATGCTTTTAGAAGCACCTCCCTGAGTGTGGGGGAAGTAAGAAGGTAAAATGGGGTGCTTAACTCAGCCAGTCCAGGCTTGGGTAGGAGCTTAAGGGGAAGAGCTACCTTGTGTCTCCTGGCAAACTCTGAGGAGCTAAACCCAGCTCGTCCCGTTGGGCGTGGGTGCTGCCTGCCAAGCAGGTCCAAACTATGCAAACCCAGTGACACCACCTGGCAGCTGCCACACCTGTGTGGCCTCAGTGCCCACACGTCAAGGGAGCTGATCCCCACAGGCATGTATGTCTGGCAGCTTTCCCTACCTGTGACAAAAAGGTCCACATTTCCCTCTGGAACCTTCAGGGTCAGGGACAGGCAAGTCTTCTCCCTTTGTGATGCAAACCATTATAGTGAGTGTGAAGGGTACCTCTTTGTGGGTTTGATTTATTGATACATTTCTCTGATGGTTAATCATAGTGACCATCTTTTCATGTGCTGTTTGCCCATTCGTATAGTTCTTTGAAGAAACGTCTACTTAAATCCTTGCATTATCATTTGAGTTATCACTTTATTATCGAGTGTATCTATATATCCTGAATATCAGTCCCTTCCCTTCCACTCCTTAGGCTGCCTTTGCAATTTCATGATGATTTTTGAAGCACAAAATTTGTAAATCTTGATGGTCACATTAATCTAGTTTTTTTCTTTTGTCACTCATGCTATTGATGTATTTAAGAAGGATCTGCCAAACAAGGACTCAGAGATTTGCCCTTGTTTTCTTTTTACCTTTTTTTAAAGATTTATTTATTTATTTATTTATTTATACAAGTGCTGGGTACAGTCAGAAGCGCGGGAGGGTGAGAGAATTCACCAGAGCCAGAGCAGGGAGCAGAGCAGGCATGCTGCACCCCACCCCCCTGCAGTGACCTTCAGGGCTAATGGCTGTTGCCATGGTCCCTGATGTCAGGCGTGGGCAAGGAACCATGCGCGCAGGGGGAGAACAGCAAACTCCCTAAGATGCAGAAAAGCTGAATGCCTGCCAAGAGATAATGACCACCAGAAGCTAAAAGAAATGCTGACCACCTGGAACCTTATCTCGCTTTCTCAAGGCCCACAAACTTTATTCTGCTACAACTGTCTCTCTAAAATCTTTCCTTTTTCTGGTCATTGATTGCTAATTAAAAAATATACATAATTTAATAAACAGGCTAATCCAAATGAAACATTACTAAACACTGTGTAATAATAGAATTGTTAGTTTAATAATCTTTCTCTTATGTGCTTGACTTTAGTACCTATGATATTAACTGCATTATAAAATAAATTCACCCATGACAATTAATTATGAGTAAAAATGAGTAGGTAATAGTGATAGTTAGTGCAACTAGAAAATAATTATATAGAACAGTAGAAAGAATGTATAGCCTGTCCAATTAGGAATGAGGCTAGGTCCAGGTGTAACTTCGGACATAAATCACTGCCCTGTCAGTTAGGCTAAGCCTATGAGCAAACTGATCTCTTTGATGTTCACTGTTCCTATGCCTTTAGAAAAAACATATATATACTGACCACTAACTTAATAAAAGCGCACTCAGATTTTCACTCTCTTGAAGTGTGTCTGTGTGTCATTTATTCATCGAATCCCTGACCACCCTGCGCAATCTCTCAAACCCTGGCATCGTCCATCGCTGTGCTGGTCCGCGGCACAGGCAGAAGAACCGAAGGACACTGCTGAGGGGAGCAGCGGGACCTGCTGAGGGGAGCAGCGGGACCCTCCTCCGGGAAGGGCCGGGGAGCAGCCGGGGATCGAACCCGCGCCGCAGAGGCCGCGGGCAGCCTCGCAACCCAGCGCTCAACCGCTGCGCCACCAGGGAGGCCCTAAATTAAATTGTTGTGAAGAAAGGGATTTACACCCCACATGCTTCCTCTGCTGTATCAGAGGTTGAGTCACGGGGAAAGAAGCCGGGGAAGGAGCATGAACGGGCTCGCGGCTCCTCCCCACCCTCTCAGGTCTGTGTTCATCACCTGCTCTCCCTGCACCAGCCTGAACAGCACGACTGCAGGAGCCCCTGTGCTTTTCCCGCCCCTGTTCTGACCCACCTCCCGCCCCCCTGCAGCATGTCCCTGGTTTACAGGTGCCTGTGGATTTAGATTTTTACTTTCTTCCTTCAAATAAATTTTATTTTCTTAAACAAAGTTTGTTTCTCTCGCTTACTTTTCTAAAACGCCTGCGAATTCCTTCTCATGGCTTCGTGGAACAAGACCCTGCGGTGATTCAAGGGCTCAGTTACCAGCGCCTCCTACTCAGGGCAAAGCTCATCAGCGACCCTGGGCCGCGGAGTCCGGGCGAGCGGCCTTTCACTTTCGCTGTTGTCTACACCGCCCGCCCCTCCCCGCGGGTGTAGCGCTCATCGCCCGTGACTCACTAGGGCAGAGTCCGTTGCGCGAGCCGGCCCCTCCTTCCGGCTAGTCACTTCGCCAAAGGCGTCTCCGCGGCCCTTGGACACCCCCATCCCCGCCCCCGCGCGGGCCCCCAACTCCGGGAGGCGTCTCCGTCGGCCGCTCCCCCGCCGCTCGGTTGCGGCAGCGGGTTGTTTTCAACCCCCGCCCGGCCTGGGCCTCTCCTCCACCGGCGCCCGCCGCCGAGATCCTTCTCCCGGCCTCGCGCGGGGACCCCCGGCCCCTCACGGGAACAGCCGCGGGACCCGCCCCGCTCGGCCCCGACGGCGGCGCATCGCCCCGCGGGCGTGAGGCTGGCGGGGGACAGGGGAGCTGGGGTCCTCCCCGCCCGGACGCCCCTGCTGGGCCTCGAGCCCCCCGGGACGCGGGTGAGGACGGGGCGGGCGGGCAGCAGCCCCCCGAGTCCAGCCACGGGGGCGTCCCCCCGAAGCGCCCACCCGAGGGGGGCCGGGAGGGCGGGGGAGCCGCCTGGACGCGGGGCCTGCGGTCAGCGGGGAGGAAGTTTCCAGACTTTCCGCTGGGATTCTGCTCCCCGGCGCCTGGAGGGGTCGCCGCGGGCGGGGCAGGGGCGGGAGGAGCGTCTTCCTCGCCTGAGCCCCGCGACTGTCCCGGGGCGCCTCGCGGAGACGGGGTGACTGGGCGCGAGTTCTCAGCCTGGGATTCCAGGGAAACCCAAAGCCACTCCAGAGAGAAATAAAAGGTTTCTTGAGAAGGGGGGTGCAGAGGCAGGTGCTAGATGGCAGGAAGGCGGGGGAGCAGGCCTTGAGCGATGGGTAAATGAATCACCCAAATTAATTGATCGGATGATGCCACGAATCCTGCTAACCTGTGGCATCGCGGCGCCAGCCGGGTCCGCGGACGCCAGAAGCACCCCAGGGGCTCGTCTCTCCCTCTGGGACCCGCAGAGCGGCCTGTCCCGGTCCGGCCCACCCGCCCTCGGGGAGTCCGGCTCGAGCCTTCCGGGTCGTGCGGCTCAAGGGCCGCGTGTGAACAAGGTGACCCCAGGGATTCCCTCCTCGGGAGGCGGCGCTGGGGCTGGGCCTCAGCTGCGATGAGGGGCGGGGGCGCTGCCGCCTCAGCTGGGCTGACGGACCCTGGGGAGCCTTGGGGAGAGAAGATCCTCCTCACTGTGGAGAAAAGAGCTGGAGAGACCCGGAGTGGGGGAAATAGATGGGAAGGTGAGCAAGTGGAGGGAGGAAAGGGGGGGGGGAATAGGAAGTTGTGGCTGCTGGGGGAGGAGAGGAGCTCACAGATCCCCCCTGTCCCCCCCCCCCAACACACACACAATCCTGCCAGCTGGAGAAGGGGTTTTATGGTGCTGTGCAGAGGAGAAAGGAGAGGGGTTATTCCAAGTACATTTTAGGGGTTGGTTTCTTCTCTTACATCGTGGTTAATTTTTGGACGGTGTTTGATGTCCCCCCTCTGCTGTAGTCCTGGTGCTTTTCCCTCCACCACAGCAGCCGTGAGCCCTCACCACAGTCCGGGTGCTCTTCACTTACCATTTTTGTTTTTGTTTTTGTTTTTTTTTTAAATGTCTGTTATAGTTAAATACTTGCAAAAGACTTCGTTCCACTGCTGAGCTCTTTCCAAGGTCGTCCTTGGTAATGGGAGGAAGAAGGAATATTGTCCACTCTTGTTTTTTATAAATTCTACACCTAAGTATAGCTACAGGCACAGGTAACTCACCAGTTGCTCTATCACCCTCTCAGCAGGAATGGCCCTGGCATCTCACACCCTGTGTTTCCTTTTGCTGCTGCTGCTGGGACCAGCCTGGAAGCCTGTGGGCTGTGAGTGTCCTGGGGTCTCCTGAGGAGGAGGGTAGAGGGAGGACCTGAGCAGAGGGACTTGGGGCAGGTCTCAGCAGGGGGTGCCTGTTCCCTTCTCTGAGAGAGAGCCAGGGTGTGGTCTGTGCAGACAGGCTCCCCGGGATGTTACACCCAGTTCCAGAAACTCAGCCTAAGGCACCTTCTGTCCCCTTGGGCTCACAGGAGGCAGCTCACCCTCCTGCCTGCCCAGTCCCACCTTCTCCTCCAGGAGCCTTTTCAAAAACCAGAGCTGACCATGAAGTTCCTCATGTCCTGTGGTGTCTTTTCCTCCTTTCTGCGGAAAGTCCTCTCAGTGAGATGATATGTCACTGAAGATAGTGATCAGCGGATTCCCCCTGGGCACAGGAGGGTCCATGGTGGCTTCAGAGTATTGAACCCCCAGAGAGCTCAAGGTGGAGCAGCACTGAGATGATGAGGGTCTGGAGGGAGACTCCTCCCTCTGCAGCAGGCCCTGCCCAGGGGTTCCCAAGGCCTCACCTGAGTTTTTCTCTCACAGCTGCTGCTCATTCTCTTTGCCTCAACCTCACTGTCACATCTCAGTCCAGACCCGGATAGCCCTGGTGTGCAGCCCAGGGCTCAGTGGATGGAAACCCTTTCCTTCAGTACGACTGTGACAGCCACAAGGTCACGCCTCTGGGTCCCCTGGGGGAGAAGGTAAAGGCCACCAAGACATGGACAGACTTGACCCAGACACTGAGAGAAGTGGGGAGAGAGCTCAGGATGATCCTGCCTCACATCAAATTGGAGAAAAACACAACCTGGGGTGAGTGTGGGGAGGGGCAGGGAGCAGGAGACAGGGGCCAAGAGGGCAGGAGCAGCCCAGCTGGGGAGGTGCTTTGTGTGAAAACTGAACACTGTCCCACGTTAGACACTCATGAACCTGATGGGCAAGGAGGGGCAAGACCTGGAGAAGAACCCAGGCCCCTAAGTGTTCAGAGACAATGGCCCCCACCCCGACTATTGGGGGTGATGGGGCAGCCTCAGTGAAACCAGGTGTTTGTGTGTGGATGGCAGGTCCCCCCACCCTGCAGGCCAAGATGTCTTGTGGGCATGAAGCACACAGAGGCACTGGAGCGTCCTGGGAGTTCAGCACCAATGGACAGAGGGCCCTCCTACTTGATGTCATGAGTGGGAAGTGGTCAGCGATTGGCCCTGGAGCCAGCGGGGTCAGGGAGCAGTGGGAGAACAACCAGCAGCTGACAGAGTATCTCAGAAAGATCTCCAGGGGAGATTGCAGTCACTGGCTTCAGGAATTCCTACCACACTGGGAAGAAATGCTGGAGCCCACAGGTAACTAGCAGGGCTGGAGGATGTGGGAACTTCCTATAAAGCTCCGACCTTTCTTGGGGGGTGTGAGGGTGTGATTGCAGGTGTCATGGGTGGATCCTGATTTTTTGGTGGACTCCTCCTGTCTGCAGAGTCAGAGACCCCACAGGATCCCACTTCCTCCTGTCCATCCCACCTCCCCCAAGCAGGTGCCCTTCCCCCCTCCACCAAGGATTTCTCTCTTCTGTTTTAGTTTTCCTTTAACCAGCTCAAAAGTCATGAAGCCTTCACCATCTTCCCCAGGCAGAACTGAACACCCCCAAGCTCTGTTGCCCTCAAAGAGTCAACCCCCAGTAAACATGTCAAACGTTGAGGATCAGTGGACATTTGCTGTCTCCCGCAGCTGAAATCTGAGCTCCAGGAGGACAGGGCACCACCCCTACTAATCTTCACACCGTTGGAGCTGTAGAGTGGCTGTCCCATGAGTCAGGAATGTGGGGGTGACACATGAGTCTCATTGCGTGGCTGTGAGTGGAATCTTCTGGGAAGATGAAACAGAGCTGAACCAAGAAGAGAACCCCCTGCTTTGTCCATCAGCTCCAGAGACACCCCCCCCCCAAGGGAGGTGAGGAAGCTGCCTCCATGGGCAGGACTGGACAACCCGGAAAAAGTAAAAGCCCTGGTACCCTCGAGAAGAGGAAGCCCAGGTGGAGTCTGGCAAGACCGACTTTGTCCTTGAAGCCTCCGTGGACCAGATGTCAAGCGTTAGCTCTGATCCTATATGGAGTTTTCAACAAAGCAGCTAAATTTCTCTTTGGTTATTCTGCCCTGTGATTTTATGCAAAAGTGGGTAATATGGTTTAAGACTAGATTTAGTTTGTAAACTTTGGCTATGCTGTTGAAACAATTTGGGATCAAGGTTGAGAGAATTTGTTTTTTACATAAATTGAACCAATTTTAGGATTTTTTCCCCTGTGATTTTGATATATTTGCTGTCATGTTTTGGCTAATGCCTCCAAATGTTTTTGTGGTTTTGTTTTTGTTTTTTTTGGGTTTTTGTTGGCTTGGACTGATGAACTGTTATTCCAGGGATGGGGGACTTTTGCTTTCCACAATGGACAACACCTGGAGAGACTGGTTGTTATTCACACTGGAATCCTGAAAAATGTTCATCTGAGACTGTATCCCAGCATCCGTATATTTGCTCTTCATCACCATGGAAATGGTGGCAAAAAGTGAAAGGAGGGAATTGTTAGGGGTGAAGGATGTCCTGAGCAAACTCCATAGGGGCTTTGTGGACTCCACCCCCACAACACTGGGAACTGCAAATCCCATGACCCCCAAAGGGAAGGTCGCAAGGACTTGAGGGCAGAGTTAAGCAACTAGGCTCACCCATTTGAGTATTTAACAGGCCATGTGGCCGGGGGTGGCCCTCTTGGCCACAAGGCGCACTAGGTTTTTCGCCAGCTCGGCGGGTCATTGGGATTCCAGGTCAGCGGAACGGGTAGGACGCCTTTACGAACTCATCTCCCTCTTTTTCTCCCTGAGTTATTCATTTCCCCACTTCCCCTTCCCTTGTAAATGAACCTTTTATCAACCTTTTGTGTGTGTCTGCAGTTGAGCATTAATAAGTCCCCTTTAAGTGCGCGGGAGAGGACCCGCAGTCAGGCAACCCGTTTTATATCGGGGTTGCTCTGTAACAAAACAATGTACAGTGAAGCACCCTGCAGCCCTGTGCTCTCATCCCTGTTTGCAGGCCGGGTAGGGAGAGGTAGGAGGAGCGCACTGCCCCCGGGACTAGGTGGCCTGGAATTATGGTTCAGCTCAGACCAACCACGTGAAGGAGCTCCTGATATCTCATCTTCTGTCCTGTGCTGAGGGTTCAGGTATTTTTAAGTATTTGAAATGTCATGAATTGTAGGGTATCTTTTGCACTTTAGATTTCTATTGTCTTGATTCTTTGGGAGATTTTCTACCTATTAGATAGTGTTTTTCCCATCCAAAAACTCCTCCTATTGTCCTCCTGTGTCTTTGGAAAATTAGAAATGTTCTCATTTACTGGTAACAGCTCTTTATATCTCTGGATGCCCAATTCATTGTCATACATGAATTAAACAACTTCTAGAAGTGGAGTCACTTCTGCTGTGAAGACCTACTTCTCACTGAAGGAGGAGCACCCAGGTCAAGGCCTCTGGAAGGTCTCTGCTGGGGAGTGTGCTGGTAAGATCAGAAATACCCTCCCTCTTTCAGAGACAGATGATGATCAGAATCCAGTTGTCAGGATAAGGTTTCCCGGAAATGGACTTTTTGATAGATAACTTAAGAGTGGTGCTTACGTTCTGTTTCCATAGGAACTAACAGGGAACCCTGGTTATTTACTCCACGCTGATGTGGAGAGATCATGAGTTCCACAACTTTCTATAGATGATAAAACACAATTCATAAGTGAAGGTTTGTAAAACAATACTTAAATACAATAATGTTAACTACATTATAAGTAAACATTCCTTAAAAAACAGTAGTGAGGGCCTCCCCGGTGGTGCAGCGGTTGAGCGCTGGGTTGCGAAGCTGCCCGAGACCTCTGCAGTGCCGGTTCGATCCCCGGCTGCTCCCCGTCCACCTAAGGAGGGTCCCACATGGCGCGCAGACCTCTCCTGCGGCCCGCTGCTCCCCTCAGCAGTGTACTTCGGTCCTTCTGCCTGCTCTGCTCCCTGCTCTGGCTCTGGTGAATTCTCTCACCCTCCCGCGCTTCTGACTGTACCCAGTGCTTGTATAAATAAATAAAATAAATCTTTAAAAAAAAAAAAAACACCAGGGGAGAGGGCCTCCCCTGGTGGCACAGGTGGTTGAGCTCAGTGCTGTAAAGCTGTCTGCAGGCTCTGCAGTACTGGTTCAATCCCAGCCAGCCAGTGAGGGTCCACATGGCGCAGTAGACCTCTCCTGTTGAATCCGCTGCTCCCCTCAGCAGTGTATTTCATCAGTCTGCCTGTTCTGTTCCCCGCTCTGTCTCTGGTGAATCTTCTCACACTACCACGCATCTGGCCTGTACCCCAGCTCTTGTATAAAAATAAATAAATCTTAAAAAAAATCAGTAGTGAAAATAGACTCAGCCCATAGCTGTCCCAGCCTAGGCCTCACAGTGCCTTGCTCTATACCAGGGACTCCCAGATACCCCCTAAATGGGAACCCCAACTAGCTCAGCCACTAGCTCCTCGGGAGCACAGGCCCAAGTCACAATCTCGCAGGACCTAGCTATTTACCATGGGCCCCGCAGCACCGTGAGGAGCATATCGCCCAGAGCTCCCCAAATGGGGCCTCCTGATATGGCTGGATCTTCAGCAACCCCCTCCTGGCCATCAGAAACAGGCCCCGAGCCACCACTCCTGGGAGGGGTGAGGTCCCAAGAACTCAGCCTCCCCCTGCCTCCCAGCCAAAGAACAAGGCTTAGGAGAGCATGGGGGGAGGCTCTAGTACCACCCCAGGTCCTATAAGACCCAAGAGGCTCTACCCAACATCACGTAAAGACGCACAATAGTAGGGGAGAAGGACTCACGCAGGACAAAAGCCCCAACTACGGCAGAGCACCCAAACAAACAATGACGGGTAGAAGGAAAAACATAAACGACCAAGAACAACCTCAGGGGAGCAATAAACTCAGAGAGAAAATCAAACTCCAAAACACAACACCCTGACATAGAGGAATTCTTCCTCTTGTCAAATGAGGAACTCAAAATTGTCATCAGAAAAACAAATCAGGGCCTCCCTGGTGGTGCAGGTGGTTGAGCACCGCACTGTGAAGCTGTTCGCAGCCTCTGCAGCCTGAGTTCGATCCTGGCTGGGCGGTGAGGATCCCACATGGAGAAGCAGACCTCTCCTGTCTCACCCGCTGCTCCCCTCAGCAGTGTATTTCACCAGTCTGCCTGTTCTGTTCCCCGCTCTGTCTCTGGAAAATCTTCTCACCCTCCCGCGCATCTGTCCTGTACCCTGGTTCTTGTATAAGAATAAATAAATCTTAAAAAAAAAAACAAAAAAAAAATCAGTCTCCACAATACATCAGTGAGACTGGTCCCTATTTAAAAAACTAGACATAGGGGCTGCCTGGTGGTGCAAGGGGTTGTCTCAGCACTATGAAGCTATCTGCAGCCACTGAGGTATGAGTTCGATCCCCAGCCAGGGAGCTACCCACATGGCGCAGCAGACCTCTCCTGTCTCCCCGATATTCCCCTTGTTATGACAATTTCCTAAAGAAATCAGAGGGCACTCAGAGAGGTGGAGAGAGGGAGATTTAATTGTGATACCGGTGGGATCACTCCCCAAAGGGCTCAGCACGCAAGAAGAAAATGGCAAGGTTTTATACAGTTTGGACGAGGAAACTTGCTGTCCCACCCATCATAGCATAAGCATTCTTTATTGTTTGGGAAGGGGGCTGCAGGTAGTCATGGCTACCACCATGGACAAGCAGTACAGTCCACCCAGCAACTTCTTCGCTTCAGCAAGCAGAATCAAAGCTGTCGACTCCTCAGCAGCAGGCTTGGGAAACTTCCTGCATCACCCTCAGCAGTGGATTTCAGTAGACCCACGTGTTCTGTTCCCCGCTCTGTCTGCAGTGAATCCTCTCACGCCCTGCACCTCTGGCCTACACCCCAGATCTTGTATGCATAAATAAATAAATCTTTTTTTAAAGAATTTTTTATTTATACAAGCACTGGGGTACAGGCCAGAGGCAGAGGAGGGTGAGAGAATTCACCAGAGACAGAGCAGGGAGCAGAACAGGCATTAGGACCGAACTACACTGCTGAGGGGAGCAGTGGACGAGACAGGAGAGGTCTACCGTGCCATGTGGGAATCTCCCTGGCTGGCGGCAGGGAATCGAACCAACGCTTCAGAGGCTGCGGACCTCTTCACAGAGCTGCGCTCAACCCACTGCGCCACCGGGGAGGCCCAGTAAATTAATCTCTTAAAAAAAAATTGCACTCATAGGCTGAACAACAGGCTTCTGACTCTGACATTCCAATCTCTAATTGATAACTTGACCCAACAAAAGCAGTAATAAAAATGCTACTTTAAGGAATAACAATGGTAGTGGGAATATTGGGTTCCTTCAAAAGTCAGTCTTTCCCCGCCCCCACAGCAGACGCAGAAAGGATCCCTGAGGCTCTGTAGGTCACCCCATGTTTTACCAGACACATCACCGGTTAGAGGAAGGTGACGATGCAGAGATGTGTCTGATTTTCACAGGAAAGGTGAAGGTGGAAAATGACTTCGCTTTAGAAACGTGTCGTTCAAGGACCATGAAGTTCAAGTGCAGAGACGCCCACAATCAGCGCCAGGAGAAGGGGCCTCTGCTGGGAGGAGGCAGCGCTGGGTGATCCCCAAACCAGAAAGGTGCCTGACTGTGGCCTCCCCTGTGTCAGCCCCTCTCAGCAGGTGTCTGCAGTTGCTGCAGGACTGAAGCTCCAGGGGGTCAGGACAAGCAGCTGGAGATAGGAGGCCAAGAAGGGGCAGTGCCCAGAAATCCACACTTCTGGGTGCTCCTTATAGCATCTCTGCATCAGAAAAGAAACTCCGATTTGTGCCAGTGGCTGAGGGAATCCTAGGTCCCTTCTCTTGAGTCTGCCCCTCCACAGTCACCCCCATCCCAAGGCCCGCCCTCGCTGGGCTGCAGCCTGTGGTGCCTCCTCCCTCCTGTCCACAGCAGAGCCAGCCCCAGGCTGAGGGGAGCTCAGGACTCCAGGCTCAGTGAACTGCCTGCGCCTGCTCCTGAGGTCAGACTGGGAGCCCCTGGGAGGGCGGCCTGGCTGCTGCTCCCTCCAGCCTGGGAGGCTGTAGGCTAAGAGCCTCTTCCCTGGCTCTCAGCCTCTCCTCACACTGGGGGTGCACACAGGCTCTAAGGGTCCCATACCCCTTCTGACCCATCCAGCCCAGCTGTCAGCGTCCCCCCACAACAGCACAGCCCCCACCCCCTGTTCGCCTCTGCTCAAGACAGGGCACCTGGCTGGGGGCCTGGGGTCTGCGGGAGTCTGGCTGCCAGGTGATGACATGGAGCTGAGCCGGGATCCCTGGGGCTCCTCAGAGTTAGGGCCCTTCTGACCTTCTCCGCCACCATCTCTGTCCCTCCCACCACCTGCACCAGCCAAGCTGCTGTCTGCGGGGCTGCCGCTGGATATCCAGACTGCTGAGTCTGTCTGCGAGGTCTCCTCACCCATTTTCCTGGGATTTGACGCAGTCCCTCTGCTCTGAGCCCCCAAATGGGGCCTCCTTCCCTTGACACATTATCTAGGGACCCCATGCCGCTGTGTGGTGACCCCAGCAAAGCCTTGTATGACCAGGACCCTGTGTGCCTGCTGCCCCCTCCACCCACCAGGGGCCCCGCCCCAACAGACGTCTGACCCCAGTCAGGAGGGACTCGCTAAACCCTCAGAACATCCACAGGCCCTAAGCTTTGGTGGCCTCTTCCTACCACGGCTCTTTTTTTTTTTTTTTAAGATTTATGTATTTATGCATACAAGAACTGGGCCACAGGCCAAAGGTGTGGGGGGTGAGAGGATTCACCAGAGACAGAGTGTGGAGTGCAACAGGCAGACTGACTGAAATACACTGCTGAGGGGAGCAGTGGGCGAGTCGGGAGAGGTCTGCTGCGCCATGTGGGTTGCTCCCTGGCCGAGGATTGAACTCGCGCTGCAGTGGCTGCGGATGGCTTCCTAGGTTGCATCTTAACCCTTTGCACAACCAGGTAGACCCACCCCCACCACTGGCTTTACAGCAAGGGGGGTTTAGCACTCAGGGCTGAGCTTGTCCAAGTTCTTGCTCAAGTGACAGGAATCCTTCCCACATGGTCTCCTTTCCACCATGAGCAGGATCAGGGAGGGAAGGGGCCTGACTGGGAATTCCATGCCCTCCTCACCCCCCCACCCCCCACCCCACTCATCCTGCACACAGTACCCTTGGTTTTATAAAGCTTATGATGCCAGGTGGATGAGGCAGGCGAGGATGATCCCAAAGATGAACCAGGGCCCCTGCATGATACTCCAGGCTCCAGATATGCCTGGGGATGTGCCTGGGGTCGTGCTTGGTGGTGCTGAAATGGAAAATCACAGTGAAACCCTGGTCCAGACCCCATAAGTGGAGAATTCCCCCCCAGGTACCCCCAAATGCAGAAATTTTCTTCCCTCTGGCAGCCACTACAGTGGGTCCTGGATATATGGACAGAGGAGATGGTCCTGTCCCCCAGGGGTACAGAGCTAAGGGGGAGCAAGGTGCTTAACTAACCAGCTAAAAAAGAGAGTTTTATTGTGTTTTCATAAAGGTCACTGCTCCAAATGAAAGTCAAATGCTTCCTCTTCTTACTTTTTTTAATGATTTTTTTTAAGATTTATGTATTTATGCATACAAGAGCTGGGGTACAGGCCAGAGATGCAGTGGGTGAGAGGATTCACCAAAGACAGAGTGGGGAGTAGAACAGGCACACTGAGTGAAATACGCTGCTGAGGAGCAGCGAGCAAGACAGGAGAGATCCGCTGTGCCATGTGGGCTGCTCCCTGGCCGGCCAGGCACCGAACTCTTGCTGCAGAGGCTGCAGACCGCCCCACAGTGTGGTGCTCAACCCCCTGCGCCACCAGGGAGGCCCTGCAACAAAACTTTTGCTCTTAAATGAAGTGAATAACCCACTGAGGGATTTCTTCTGTTTTTTCCCCCCTTATTCATATTTTGGTGGGTTTTTTTATACTGCATAGTGGTTTTTTTATCCTTATATATTTTTATTTTATATATTTTTACATCATTCTTAATCTTTATACAATATGTGCTTAATCATGTCGGTAGCGTCCCCGTGGAATTCCCAGCACCAGTTCAGCCGAGAACCATCCCCATAGTCGTGTGTGCTCTCCCTGTGACAGGGCCCCCAATATAGAGTGGTTTGCCTGGCCAGCTCCGCACCCGCGTGCTTAAAGGGGACTCACACCGCAGACACACACACAACAAAAGGTTTATTGACAGGGGAAGGGGACATGAGGGAATGAACAACTCGGGGAGAAAGAGAGGGAGATTCTTAAAACGCGTCCCACCCGCTCTGCTCTGTCCACCTGGATCCCAAATGCCCCCCCAGACCAAACGCGGCCCGGCCGGGAGCAGGAGCCGAGCCGAGACGCCTCACAGGGCTTGTGGTGGAGACAAAGCCGAGGAAAACGGCTGCTAACTCGGCCCTCGGGTCCGCCCAACCGCCCTTTGGGGATCGTGGGGGCCGTAGCTCCCCGGGTCCTGACGGCGTGGGGGGTGGGGTCCACACAGCCTGTGGGGTGTGCGCGGGACATGCTTCCCCCCACATCCCGCCCCTGCTCCGAGCCCCCCCCCCGCAGAATGTCCCCGGCTCACAGGTGCTGTTGGTTGTGATTTTCAAATAAACTTTACTTTCTTAAACAAAGTTTGTTTCTCTCGCTTACTTTTCTAAAACGCCTGCGAATTCCTCTTTGGAACTCGTGGCACAGGACCCTGCGGTGATCTAAGGGTCAGTCAACAGCGCCGCCTACTGGTGCGAAGCGTGTTCAGCATCCGGCTCGGTCGCCGACGGATAAGCCCGCGGGACAAAATCCGCTCGCCGCGTCTTTCACAAGACGTTGAGGAGCCGCCCCGCCCCCGTCCGGTGCCGGCGCTCTCCAGGGCTGTGAACTCGCTGTCGGCTGCGTGTGCCGGGGACCGACCGGGCCGAGTGCGTGTTCCAGCCTCGTCCCGCCCCGCCCTGCCCGGGCCTCTCCTCCACCCGCGCCCGCTGCCCGGTGAGTCCCTCCCCGGCCTCGCGGGGACCCCCGGCCCTCACGGGAGCAGCCGCGGGACCCGCTCCGCTTGGTTTTGGAGTGGGGAGAGGGGAGGGGAGCTGGGGTCCTCCCCGCCCGGACGCCCCTGCTGGGCTCCGAGCCCCGGGGACGCGGGGGAGGACGGGGCGGGCGGGGAGCAGCCCCTCGAGTCAGGCCCCGGGGGCGTCCCCACGAAGCGCCCACCTGCGGGGGGGGCCGCCTGGACGCGGGGCCGGCGGTCAGTGGGGGAGGAAGGTTCTAGACGTTCTGCGGGGATTCTGCTCCCCGGCGCCTGGAGGGGTCGCCGCGGGCGGGGCAGGGGCGGGAGGAGCGTCTTCCTCGCCTGAGCCCCGGGGCTGTCCCGGGGCGCCTCGCGGAGACGGGGTGACTGGGCGCGAGTTCTCAGCCTGGGATTCCAGGGAAACCCAAAGCCACTCCAGAGAGAAATGAAAGGTTTATTTACAAGGACTTAGAAAGGCAGAGCAGGGGAGCGCGGACGCAGGCGGAGCACTGAGCTGGGGAACGTGAAGCAACAAATTAGTTGGTCACACACGGTGCGTCCTGCTGTCCTGTGGCATCGCGGCGCCAGCCCGGTCCGCGGACGCCAGAAGCGCCCCAGGGGCTCGTCTCTCCCTCTGGGACCCGCAGAGCGGCTGGTCGGGGCCCCCAGCGCACCCCGCTCGGGAACCCGGTGCTGCGACCCGGGACTGGCGGCTGCAGCGGCCGCGTCCACAGGAGGAGGGTCCCCCCAACCCCCCGCGCCCCCGCGCGCGAGGCCGGCTCTGCGGCCCCCACCCCGGCTGCGCGAGGACGCGGCGCTGCCGCCTCAGCTGGGCTGACGGACCCTGGGGAGCCTTGGGGAGAGAAAATCCTCCTCATGGAGGAGAAAAGAGTTGGAAAGACCCGGAGTGGGGGAAATAGATGGGAAGATGGAGGAAGTGGAGGGAGGATGGGGGAGGGGAAGAAGGAAGCTGTGGCTGGTTGGGGGGGAGAGGAGCCACAGATCAATCACACACAGTCACACCCACTGGAGAAGGGGTTTTATGGTTTTAAGTGGAGGAGAGAGGAGAGGGTTATTCAAAGTACATTTTTGGAGTTTGTTTTTTCTCTTAACATCGTTGTTAATTTTTGCACAGTATTTGATTTCCCCCTCTGCTGTAGTCCTGGTGCACTTCCCTCCACCACAGCAGCCATGACCCCTCACCACATTCCCTGTGCTCTTCGCTCCCCAGGATCAGGGTTTTTAAATGGCTGTTATATTTAAATATTTGCAAAATGCATCCTTGCCACTGCTGAGCTATTTTCAAGGTCTTCCTCAGTAATCGGAAGGAAGAGTGAACGTTGTCCACTCTAGTTATGTATAAATTCTACCCCAGGTGTGACTCCAGGCACAGGTGACTCTCACCAGTTGCTCTCTCACCCTCTCAGCAGGAATGGCCCTGGCCTCTCACACCCTGTGTTTGCTTTTGCTGCTGCTGCTGCTGGGACCAGCCTGGAAGACTGTGGGCTGTGAGTGTCCTGGGGTCTCCTGAGGAGGAGGGTAGAGGGAGGACCTGAGCAGAGGGACTTGGGGCAGGTCTCAGCAGGGGGTGCCTGTTCCCTTCTCTGAGAGAGAGCCAGGGTGTGGTCTGTGCAGACAGGCCCCCCCAGGATATTACACCCAGTTCTCCAAACTCAGCCTAAGGCACCTTCTGTCCCCTTGGGCTCACAGGAGGCAGCTCACCCTCCTGCCTGCCCAGTCCCACCTTCTCCTCCAGGAGTCTTTTCAAAAACCAGGGCTCATCATGAAGTTCCTCATGTCCCGTGGTGTCTTTTACTCCTTTCTGTGGAAAGTCCTCTCAGCAAGATTGTGTCACTGAAGATAGTTATAGCGGAATCATCCTGGGTACAGGAGGGTCCATGGTGGCTTCAGAGTATTTAACCCCCAGAGAGTTCAAGGTGGAGCAGCACTGAGATGATGAGGGGCTGGAGGGAGACTCCTGCCTCTGCAGCAGGCCCTGCCCAGGGTCCCCAAAGCCTCACCTGAGTTTTTCTCTCACAGCTGCTGCTCATTCTCTTTGCCTCAACCTCACTGTCACATCTCACTCCCCACCTGGGCAGCCCTGGTGTGCAGCCCAGGGCTCAGTGGATGGAAACCCTTTCCTTCAGTACAACTGTGACAGCCACAAGGTCACACCTCTGGGTCCCCTGGGGGAGAAGGTAAAGGCCACTGAGACATGGACAGACTTGACCCAGACACTGGGAGAAGTGGGGAGAGAGCTCAGGATGATCCTGCCTGACATCAAGCTGGAGACAACCAGGACCAGGGGTGAGTGTGGGGAGGGGCAGGGGCTGGAGACAGGGGCCAAGAGGGAAGGAGGAGCCCAGGGGGGAGGGGCTCTGTGTGAAAACTGAACACTGTCCCACCTTAGACACTCGTGAACCTGATGGGCAAGGAGGGGCAAGACCTGGAGAGAGGAACCCAGGCCCCTAAGTGTGTAGAGACACTGACCCCCCCCACCTACTTGGGTGTGATGGGGCAGCCTCAGTGATGCCAGGTGTTTGTGTGTGGATGGCAGGTCCCCCCACCCTGCAGGCCAAGCTGTCTTGTCAGCATGAAGCACAAGGAGGCACTGGTGCATCCTGGGAGTTCAGCATCAATGGACAGAGGGCCCTCCTCTTTGATGGGATGAGCGGAAAGTGGTTGGCCATTGATCCTGGAGCCAGCGGGGTCAGGGAGGAGTGGGAGAACAACCAGCAGCTGACAGAGCATTTCAGGAGGATCTCCAGGGGAGACTGCAGTCACTGGCTTCGGGAATTCCTGCCACACTGGGAAGAAATGCTGGAGCCCACAGGTAACTGAGCAGGGCGGGAGGATGTGGGAACTTCCTAGAAAGCTCTGACCTTTCTTGGGGGTGTGAGTGTGTGATTAAAGATGTGATGGACAGATCCTGATTTTTGGTGGACTCCTGTCTTCAGAGTCAGAGACCCCATAGGATCCCACCTCCTCCTGCCCATCCAAGTCCCTCTGTGTGGGAACCCTTCCTCCATCCCTCAAGGATCCAGCCACCCTGCGCTGGAGGGTCCCCTGGGACCCTGCATCTCCAGGCTTTCTCTCTTCTGTTTTAGTTTTCCTTTAACCAGGTCAGAAGTCTCTTCTCATGAAGCCTTCGCCATCTCCCCCAGACAGAATTAAGCACCCCCAAGCTCTGTTGACCTCAAAAAGGTCAACTCCCAGTAAACATGTCAAACTGAGAATCACCTGGAAAATGCTGTCTCCCTCTTCTGAAATCTGAGTTCCAGGAGGACAGGGCACAACCCCTACTAATCTTCCTGGGCCCTGGAGCTCGGCTGTCACATGAGTCAGGAATGTGCGGGGACACATTCTGTCTGGGAACACAGGTGCTGAGGAGGTGTCTTTTCAGATTTGACAGGGCTTTGGGTATTTTCTTTTGGTTTCTGTTAGTGCCACCAACAAAGACCCCAGAGACCAACCAGTCCAACTGGATCATGAGTTCGATCTTAATCCCTACCATATTTTTCATCATCGTCATTGGTAGCATCATTGCCATGAAGGTCAAACCATGTAGGAGGAGATCAGGCGCCTCAGGAGGTGAGGTTTATCCCAGGGGTTGGTGTCAGTGTCCTGCTGCTGCTGCTGCTGCAGCTGCGGGGCAGTGCGTGAGGGGGCTTGGTGGTGAGTGTTGCGGGTGGGGTGTCCAGCGGGCGGGTCTTAGGCACGAGTGAGCCCTAGTGCTGAGGGTTCATGGATCGGATCTCGCCAGGAGTCCACAGGGGACTAGGCACCCAAGGTGAAGGGTGGGTGACCACAACTTTCCCCTGCCCCCCGGGAAGGGACTCTGAGAAGGCCAGAAGCTCTGCGCTCTCTGGGTGACTACAGGGAAGGCGGGAGCTGACAGGGGACTGTCAGGCAGGGATCAAAGGACATTTGCTCTCACTCTACCTTAAGCATCATGGCTCAGCCTGGAGCAGTCCCCTGTCAGCCAGACTACTGCACACCCCAGATCCTGCCTTACTGGGGAACCCTGACTTGAGCAGCAGTGGCCTGGAGAGGGGGTGCAGTGCCAAGCTTCTGTTACTGCTCAGAACTGAGCAGGATCAGGAGAGGTGGGGAGAGGGCCAGGGCCAGTCATAGTGAGCGCTGTGTCCTGCCAGGAGAGAAGGGAAGAGGATGTTGGCCTGCAACCCTCCCCAAGGCTGGAAGTGTGGGCATGTGGCCCTTCTCCTCCTCACAGCCTGACCCTGCAGCCCCTCCAGGAACATGGAGAATCAGCAGTGAGAATGGGGAGCAGAGGGGTTCATTACTGCCTTTAGCTGGGCCAAAGCCCTGGTACCAGGCCTGGGGCAGAGTTTGATGTGGAAGAGGGTGAAGAATTGGCACAGGCTACTGCACCCAGTATTGGGGGGGCCCAGGTTGGGGAAGTACCTGACCCTCAGGGAGGGAGGGCTCTGAGATGGGGGTGACAGGGGAGGGGCAGCCCCAGGAGAAGGGACCCAAGAGCTCTCAGCCCCTGGGACAAACATTTGTTCTTCTCTCAAGGCCCGTGCTGCTGCCCGAGCCCCGAGCCCGGGGTCCTGCTCTAGACTCTGCCCTTGGGGCCCACTGTGGCTCCCCTGCTTCATCCTCCACCCCAGGACGCAGGTTCCAGATCTGGAGGACTCCTCGGTCACCACTCCCAGGATCTCAACATGGCCTGTCCTCTGTGGCCTTTGGTGACTGCCCATCACTGCTTTCTCTTAACACAAGGGGCCAATTTCTCTGGTGCTAAAGATGGAATTCCTGCACTTCAACATTGAACTGCTTGAACACATCGAATGGTGAACAGGAAATGGATTCACCAAGTTCCTGACATTGTTTGGATCTTAGACATTGAATCCTCCCGGGCCTCCCCGGTGGCTCAGTGGGTTGAGTGCAGTGCTGTGAAGCTGTCCGAAGGCCCTGAAGTGCGGATTCAATCCCTGGCCCACCAGGGAGCTACCCACAAGGCACAGCAGACCTCTCCTGTCTCACCCGCTGCTCCCCTCAGCAGTGTGTTTCAGTCAGTCTGCCTGTTCTGCTCCCCACTCTGTCTCTGGCGAATCTTCTCACCCTCCCACACCTCTGGCCTGTACCCTAATTCTTGTACACGTAAAAAAAAATAAATCTTTAAAAAAAGAGAGAGAGAGAGAAAAAGAAACTGAATCCTCCTTTGACATGAACTTCAGCATCTCCAATCTGTGGATGATTCAGGCTGACATGCCCTCACATTGGAGCCCGAAAATCAAGTGTCTGCCTGCACTGAAAGAGGACAGGGATGCAATGGGCTATGGACAAGATGCTGGGGCGTCACTGGCAGGAGGTGCGAGGGAACACATCTCATAGACCCTAAACCTCACCAGACTATAAATCAGTGTGTCTGCAGTAAACATAATATTTGAAAAATTATAGATGTTTACAAAAGGGGTAAATAAAACACAACCCACCTCTTTGTCAAGTCAAAAATGGTAAATATCTAAATATTTCATTCCTGTGGCCATAAACGATGTGGTGAAACAACCACTGGGTCATAACAGGGTCTCAGGATTTTGGTTTTGTGCTGAGGTAACTCTGAGGGGAGTGTATGTGGGGAAGTAGCAGCATGTCCTGGTGTACAGGAAACACACTCACATATGTGGCATCTAGGCTGTCACCACTAATGGGGGCCATCGGGTGACAGCTCACTGCCCTGTAGTTCATCCTCTGTAGTGTGTGGAGTGGGGAGGCTGGGTGGGGGAGAGAGGAGGTTAAGTGAGGTTGTGGTTTCAGGGGGGAGTGTCCATGACTTACCTCCCAAATCTCATCACTGCCAGAGCAATTTCTCATCTCACCTTGTGACATCTTTTCACTCCAATACCCTGGGGTCAACCAATCTGTTCTCCCTAATGGTCCTCACCATCAGGCCCCAGGCGCTCAGTTCTGGCACTTTCCACTGTCAGATCGTCCCGTCCCACTGGACAGGAGCCTGCAGTCATTCAAAACAGGGGCACATATCACCTCCCATTGTTTTCTGACACCCCTGCATATCAGGGTTCTGTGGGTAGAAAGTCTGATGTGGGGTATGTAGGGGGTACTTGGGGAGACAGAGAGAGAGTGAGCAAGCACACACTCGTCCAGTGATTAGTGCACATCGCAGGCTGCACACTGAGCCCAAGGAAGCCTGAAGGGAATCCTGTTCTTTGTGGGGGGCAGACTCAGGTTCCTTTAAGACCTTCAACATGCTCTTGCTGAGGCCTCACCAGGTATCCTACTTCAGGTGTGTGCTGAATGCACAGCAGAGGTCATGGGTCAGGGTCACAGGGACAGAGATGGGCCAGGCTCTGGAGTCCAAGGAACTTCCTCCTCACTTTTGGTGCCTTTGAATATGTGGAAATGAAAGCAAAGACTTTCAGCCCCTGCATGACATAGGGACTTTTTCTCAGGCTTCTGGGGTCACCACTTTATTCTTCCTCCCAGAGGTGCTGCTGCTTCAAAGGTGGGAAATGACCTGCCTGGTGTGCAGGGTGTGATATGAGTGGAAGGACAGGGCCCGGCCGCCTGGCAAACTTACAGAGAAAACAGACATTCCCGCCTGGGAACCTGCATTTCCCAGGAGTCACTGTGGTTGACAAGAGGTCTGGGGCCTGCAGGGATAGAAACCAGCAGATGGCTGCCTTAAGAGGGAACACCTAAGGGGGTGTGGCCCCTTTCATTAGGACCCAGTCTAGTCCTCTGAGCAGAGCAGGAAGGACTAAGGGCAGAGGTGGAATCCAGAATATGGGGAGGCGGGGGACGGGAGGAGCTGGATGGGCCAGAGCTGGAGAGTGGGGAAGAGGGCAGAGCCAGCACAGATTGGAGACCCTAAACCCCCGCCCCCCAGCTGAAAAGGAAGCAGGGTGGCCGGCGGGGGGCGGGAGAATGGACAGATTCACTAGAACCAACTTGTTTTTTTACGTTTTCCTAAGGATCAGCCACACGGTGAAGTGGTTTGTCCCCAGGCTGGCTCTGGAGGCCTGTGAGCTTTGCAGGTTGGGTCGGGTGTCTGGGCCAGTGAGTTGAATCAGTTGCAGGATCTCGGGCGCTCTCTAGGTCCAAGGATGTGGGCCCTGGAGTCTGGAGCCTGGAGTCCGCACCAGGCTGCGCTCCCCTCCCCCTTGCGGCACCCCAGGGTCCTGGTGACCCTTCAGATGGCCGTGACTCTCCACTTACCCAAGGAAAGGGACTCGGGGAAAGACCAGAAGGATTTGCAAGATCCCGCCTCCCTGGAGCCTCTTCCTTCAGCTGAGAAGCTGCTCAGTTCTGGACACTGGCAGAGGCAGGTGTGGGTTGGGTTGGGGGCTTCAGGCTCCTGACGAACCCTCCAGTGTTCCAGGTTGGTTTTACTTCTGGAAATGAGGCGCTCAGCACCGGGAAGGCTGCCAGCCTGGCTGTCCTGCCTGGTGGCACAGGTGCTGGCAGCCACGCCCACAGGCCTCTGGTCATTGACTCCTGACCTGGAGCCTCCACAGGTGCCCCCATTGTTACTGGGGCCCGTATTGGGGACAGCATCTGCCTCTGCGCCTCATGTCAGCACAAGTCCTCACTGGACTTGAATTCCCGGGCTTTCTCACCCAGGTTTTCCTCAGGGTGATGCCAGAGTCTCCAGGGCTTCTCCGGGGCGCCAGGGTGACCCAGACAGTGTCTGTGTGTGTCCTGTCCTCTCCACCCTGGCACCTCACTTCTCTCAAGCATGTGGTCATCTCCTCCTCCACCCCCTGCCTCAGAAATTCTGGAGTTTCTGTTTTCCCTGCCTGGACCGTGGCTTTCCCCAGCTCCCAGAGCACCTGTGAGCAGATCAGTCCCACCTGCTGGGCCTGCTGGAGACCATGACCCGGCTCTGCAAACTCTCCTTCTCCACCTTGGCTTCTGTCCCCACCCTCACCTGGCTCCTACCTTTTTGAGAACAGCCCCCCTCCATGCCCACCCTGTGCAGGCTCTTCTGCATCCTGCAGGGACACTGGGCTGAGATTCTCACAAGGCTCTGATCTGCAGACTTTTCCTCCAGTGCTAAATTGCATGTTATGGCCCCGACTGATCTGTGGGCACTGAAGATGGGTGGAGGCCTGGTGGGCACAGGGGATATGTCCAGAAATCAGGTGAAGGGGAGAGGCTGCCTAGGGAGGCCTTGCTCTTCCCGCCCAGCCCTTCAGAGTTTCTCCTGTGTCCCACAGATTGAGAGCGCTGCCTGGGGTCCGTTTCTTCCCCCTCCAGCCCCACCTGTGTTTTACAGTCATAGACGCGCACCGCACTGCTGCCACTTCTCCATCATTCCTCAGGCCAGACCTGGACAACCACGATGTGAAGTTCAAGGCCAGGTGAGGGCTCCCCCTGCCTTCATTGTCACTGTCGGGGGCAGAAGGTGAAACCAGTATTTCCTCTGGGGACCAAGGAGGACACCACAGGGGCCTGGGAGGGACAGACTGAATCCCTTAACCACCTGACGGAGGCGCTCAAGAAGAAACTGCTTGACCTGCAACCAGAGATGGTGAGAAGCAGTGGTGAGTGGGGAAGCCCCAGGGCAGAATTTCCCTGCAGGCCTAAATAACCGTGGCATTTGTGTCTAGAAAACTAAGGTGTTTGTGTGGATGTAGTGCCACCCCAGAGACCCTGAGCCTGGGAGGACAGAGCAGGCCAGGTAGCCAAGGGAACAGAGTGGTGGGTACCAGGTGGGTCAAAGAGGTGGAGAGCAGAAACCCAGCTCTTTCCCCGGGGCAGGGCCCCTCTCCCTGCAGGGCACGGTGGTGTGTGAGGGGGAGGCCCGTGGACAGAGCCGCGCATCCTGGCGCTTCGTCGTCAACGGACACATCTCCCTGCTCCTGGACTCCCAGACCAGACACTGGGCCATGGACCCACCTGCAGACATGGGGATGCTGGAGAGGTGGGTGGAGGATTAAGAACTGAGAAAATTACTCTTGAGGATTTTCCTCGGGGGCTGAATTATGAGGCTTCAGCAAGTTGTAGTTCCTGAGGAGAAAATGCTGGAGATGACAGGCAACTGGCTGGCGGGAGGTGGTGCGATTCTCTGAGATGCGTGTGTGAGTCTGTGTGTGTGCAGGGGGCCCTGCTGTAGGAAGTCCCTCTCAGGAGAATACTGGTCACAGGTGTGACCCCCTCCTTCCCCAAATCCCCTCCTCACATCTCTTCCACCTTGGACATTGCTCTGTGGATTTCTAGCTGATCCCACACACGAGGGAGTCATGCACTTTTCAAGAGTTTCTTCTTACTCTTCCCTTCTCTCAGAAACACCTTCCTCTTTTCTCTCACCTGCTGTGTGTCTGCAGTTCTTCCTTTCTGACTTGAATGCCAGTTTCTGAGAGGAATGTTCTACCAGCCTCCTCCTGGGGTCCCCTCCTCTGTCACAGCAGGGGTGACTGATTAGAGGTCACCCTTTCTCCCTTTACTGTGTGAGCCCCTGGGGGTTCGGGGCTCACCTCCTTCCTCTGGCGCACGCCTACCCCCTGCCCAGGACCTGTCACTGTGCCCCCAACAGTACAGGGGTAGAGCGTCCTCCTCTGTGCTGGAGACCAGGCGGACACTTCTTACATGTGGGGTCTGGTTGCGGGTTTTCACTCTTGGGTTTCCATTCAAGCATCACCCACCACGGCCCCAGGTACTGTCACATCCAAGGCCAGGACTGTCAGACACATGACCCATGGTTTGGGAGTGGGGAGAGGGGAGGGGAGCTGGGGTCCTCCCTACCCGGACGCCCCTGCTGGGCTCCGAGCCCCCTCCACCCCCCCACGCCCCCGGACGCAGGTGAGGACGGGGTGGGCGGGGAGCAGCCCCCCCAGTCCAGCCCCAGGGGCGTACCCCCACCCCAAGCGCCCACCTGAGGGGGGCCGGGAGGGCGGGGCGCGCCGGGCGCGGGGGCGCCGCCTGGACGCGGGGCCGGCGGTCAGTGGGGGAGGAAGGTTCTAGACGTTCTGCGGGGATTCTGCTCCCCGGCGCCTGGAGGGGTCGCCGCGGGTGGGGCAGGGGCGGGAGGAGCGTCTTCCTCGCCTGAGCCCCGGGGCTGTCCCGTTCCAGGGAAACCCAAAGCAGAGTCGTAGAGAGAAGTGAAAGGTTACTGAGAAAGGGGGTGCGGAGGCAGAGGGCGACGGCGCGAAGGCGGGGAGCAGGCGAGCAGCGGGAGGTCAATCACTCAACATACACCTCGCCAACGTGCGGCATCGCGGCGCCAGCCCGGTCCGCGGACGCCAGAAGCGCCCCAGGGGCTCGTCTCTCCTCTGGGACCCGCAGAGCGGCCTGTCCCGGTCCGGCCCACCCGCCCTCGGGGAGTCCGGCTCGAGCCTTCCGGGTCGTGCGGCTCAAGGGCCGCGTGTGAACAAGGTGACCCCAGGGATTCCCCCCTCGGGAGGCTGCGCTGGGGCTGGGCCTCAGCTGCGATGAGGGGCGGGGGTGCTGCCGCCTCAGCTGGGCTGACGGACCCTGGGGAGC